GAAAGTTTGGACTTTAGATGGTTTAGACATGTTTACTTTATTTTACCATTATTTAGTGACGTACAATTCTAAAAGAGTTAATATAGAGATAGACTTCGAGGCCAGTAGGTTGTGTTTTTAACACGGTTAAATTTATAATTTAAAGAGACTGTTTTTTTTATAAGAAGATTTCGTTGATATGTACCTAATACAGAGATGGACTACGAGGAATGTTTAACACGTGAAAATTGATAATTTAAAGGGACTGTTTTTTATACGAAGACTTCGTTGATCTGTACTTCTTCACATTAATTTAGACTGCTACACGTTGATTTAGACTGCTGCAGATTAGCTTCCAATTCTGCACATTGATTTAGACTTCTACACATTATCATAGAATGCTACACATTAATTTAGACTGCTGCATATTAGCTTCAAAATCTGCACATACATTTGCACTGTTATACATTGATTTGAAATTTTGTATTAGAATTTTAAGGCGATGTCTTGGTAATTTATGAGTTCAACGCCATCAACAATTATCGATCAGTCATAGGCTCTGCGCGTAGGAGAAAAAATCTTTGACCAACTGAGTGTCGTTTATTGCTAGGTATTAATTACAGCTGAGCTATCTTAATTTTCACTACTTCCTTTACAACAGTGCAGTTGAACACAGTTGAAATTTTGTGTATCTGGGGAATTCGCTGATGCGGGCTACAGAAAAATGGATAGTAAAGGGAGGTAACACAGCGTAAAAATACTATCATCAATTTATACAAGAGTTATGTCCCTTCCACACCATGAAACAATAGCTTTATTTCTAAGATATTATCTTTATATCTAAAAACTTATTGTAATTGTAATATATCATATTGCAATACATTTCTTACTGAACTGAAGTAGAGGAAGCGTAATAGTATCCACTATGTTGTCGTAATTTTTTTTATCATACAAGTAGCCTACCTGTGTATTTCTTTGATCCCACAAGTAGCCTACTTGTGTATTAGTTTGGTCATACAAGTAGCCTACTTGTGTATTAGTTTGGTCATACAAGTAGCCTACTTGTGTATTAGTTTGGTCATACAAGTAGCCTACTTGTGTATTAGTTTGGTCATACAAGTAGCCTACTTGTGTATTAGTTTGGTCATACAAGTAGCCATTTGTCCATTTTGTTTTCTCTAACCCGAGTTCGTACACCATGCAAATAATGCCAGTTTACTGGGAACAGCAACCCATCTAGGAGAGAAAACTGCAAATTCAAAATTTGCTGTCTTGCAGTTTTCTCGTGTGGACAAAGACTATGGAAACAAATCCAGAACAAAAAAAAAAGATTACTGAAATCGGGGTCAGCGAGCCGTATGGCGCACATAAATATTATACAATTAAGAACGAAGATGCTTTATCCTATCAGTAGTTGCGATTCGTTTGCTTATACAAGTACTTGTTGATTTGTTTGATCCTACAGTACAACTCAATATTCTTTGAACTAGTATCGTTGATATTTCTGTCTCAAAAATAATCTTAACCAAGAATACATTATAACCTAAGATACAAGCCTAGCTGCAGTCAAACCTCTAAACGTTCTGAATTGAATTTCTTCCAGGCATCTCTTCAGCCCTACCGCCCCCCCCCCCCCCCGAACAAAATGGAATTTACTAAGAAGAGATATACTTTTACTAATGTCAGCCCCCCCTACGCCCGGAGAAAAAGTCTGAAAGAAACACTGTAAACGTTGGGGTAAGGAGAGCCTATTGTTTATTTCAGGCATCTCTCCCAACCCCCCCCCCCCCCAACACCCCCCTCCCCCCACCTCTAATAAAACCCTTAGCCTGCCATTAACCTTATGTCAAACATATTATGTCATATGCATAAATTGCGCATGGTTAATCAATTTTAAAAAATGTTATGTGAATATGTGCGCATGGCTAATAAATAAATAAAACATGCCCAGTGAATAAGTGGGCATGCATTATCAATTAAACTGTTGTAAAAAATTAATGTAACGCATTGAATATCTAAATTAAGACTCCCGCGTGAGCAAAAACGACATCTGCGTAGGCAGAAAATACATCTCAGTAGACAGAAAATACATCTCAGTAGACAGAAAACACATCTAAGTAGGCAGAAAACACATCTCAGTGGACAGAAAATACATCTCAGTAGGCAGAAAACACATCTCAGTAGACAGAAAATACATCTCAGTAGGCAGAAAATACATCTCAGTAGGCAGAAAATACATCTCAGTAGGCAGAAAATACATCTCAGTAGGCAGAAAATACATCTCAGTTGGCAAAAACTACATCTCAGTAGGCAGAAAATAC